GATAGTGGGCGCACCGCGGTTCGCCCACATTACACCCATCCTCCGCGAGCTGCACTGGCTACCAATTGGTCTCCGGATGCAATTCAAAGTGTTGGTTATTACCTTTAAAGCCCTACATGATTTAGGGCCAGCGTACCTTTGAGACTGCCTACCGCCACATACCTCCCAGCGGCCAATAAGATCCCACAGATTGGGCCTCCTTCAGATGCCGTCAGCTAGACAGTGTTGGCTGGTGGGCCCCCGGAGGAGAGCCTTCTCTGTGGCTGCTCCGACTCTTTGGAATCAGCTACCTCCTGAGATCCGGACCATACCAACTCTCATGGCCTTCAGGAAAGCTGTAAAAACTTGGCTGTTCTGGCAGGCCTGGGGCTGTTGACCTCACTGTTGAGGTCCAGCCCCGATTAGAATGAATTTATGAGGTGTTTCTATTTTAAACTGTTTTTTCCCCCGTTATGTGTTCGTTATGTGTCTTTTTCTCTTTTTTTGTAAGCCTCACGGAGTCCTTTGGGATTGGGCAGCAAATAAATAAATAAATAAATAAATAAATAAATAAATAAATAAGGTGGTGATCCCTATTTTTCTATTTGCATTTTTTACATGCTTTCAAGCTGCTAGGTTGGCAGAAGCATTACAGGGTGGTAGGTATTTGAACCGCCGACCTTTTGATCGACAAACTCAGCGTCAAATATAAATATAAAGCATACAAAGCATATATTTCATGATAAAAAAAATTCACATCCCATTCGTGATTTTTGGCACCATTGAATGATTAATTAAAAAAATAAAAATCAGTGATAATCCTGAAGATTATTGATCTTAACTTATATCAGCACCACAGTCCCCTACAGAATCGAGGCACAAAACAGTAAAAGTCACACAAAAAATAAAGGAAAGTCCTATTTTTTTTTCATTAGAGAATATTTTGTTCCTCCTTTTCCATCCGGCGAGGAACTTTCCAAGGCAATAAATAGGAAAAGTTGACTTGTAAGCCCCATGCGACTTGGGCCATTCTTTAGCCTCTGCGAAGGGGGATAAAACCCTGACCGAATGGCAACAAGAGGGTCTCTTTCCGGAGAATCGATCGAGAACAAAATGCCCTTGCAGAGCTCCGGCTCCAATGACTCCCGGAGTCACATGCATTTCCAGGCCCTTTGCCGGCTGGGCCCCGCTCCTCTGGCAGTCCGCGCGAAAAGTGGCCGTCACGTGACCGCGCTGGAGACGGGCTGGGGGTGCCGCCGGCCTCGGTGTGCGTGCTCCTTAGACAGGCAACATGGCGGCTACCGCGGCAGCTAAGGTGGCTCTTAGGCTTTTTTACCATCCAGGGGGTTTAGCCGCCGTCGCCTGGTCGCCCGCCTCCTCCTCCTTCTCCCTGGGCCGCGTGAGACCGAGCAGCTGTTCTGGCGTGACCGCGGCCTTCAGAAAATACAGTTCAGAAGCCAAAGGACTGGAGGAGGAACTGCGGGTTCGGTATTTGGACGACGAGCATAAAGGTAACGGCAGTAGCCGGCGTGGATGGAGCCGGGGTCTGTTTTTTTTTTACCTGTCAACCTCTCAGAGAAAGCCATTTGTGTTCCCCCCTCCCTCCCCCAGTTCTACCCAGCAGATAAGGCTTGGGTGTCTCTTTTTGCTTGTCAGCAGCGGAGACTCGACGATGGGACGCCCCCACATCCAATTATCTGTCCGAAATGATGAAGCTGCCTGACCCTTTAAATTCTCCCGTTGGTGGGGGCCGGTCGCGCGAGCTGCCATAATCATAAAGCGCATGCGTGGCTCTTTCTCGTGTTATGTGAATGCTGCCTGATACAGTCGCTGGTTCGGGAAATCCTTATGCTGGTTTAGGAGACCAGGGAGGATGGGTGCCTGGGGTTGTAAGGTCGGGATGTCTGATGTGCACACGTTGAAAGTCCTGCGTTTTATTTGAAGGTGGCCTGTCATTTAGCTGTCGCTGATACACGTTCCTATTTCTAAAAATGTCAGTGTTTCTCAAATTTGGCAACACTGAGGTGTTCGGCCTTCAACTCCCAGAATTCTCTAGCTAGAGTGTTTTCTTGAGGAGTTCTGGGAGTTGAAGTCCACATATCTTAATGTAGCCAAGTTTGGTCTCTATTCTTATTTGAATTCTTACGTTCTGGGTGTTTAAGAATGCAGAACTTCTTGGAAAATATGCACGGATACTCGAATCATTTTGAAATCTTTAAGTTTATAAATATATCAAGAATGTCTGCACATAACTTATGCTAAAAGCACAATAAAGTCTTGGCATTTTAAATCGAACTGATCGGATGCACCTACACAGATATACTGATTATCTCTTCTGGAATGATGTACAGGTTATCCTTTGAATGTCATTCTCTTGAATTTTGCAATATATTCAGAGATCAATATAAATGATTACTTTAGATAAGTAAAGTGAGAGGAGAAAAGTGTACTTTGAGAGGAAAAACATTCAAAACTTATGCTTTGTGAGAAAATATATCTCTAATTTTATGCTTGTTTTAATTATCATTTCCTGTCTTTTTAATAAACATATGGAAGATTGGGAGATGAAACACATCTATTCCAATTTATAGTGCATTATTTATAGTGAGTAGATAGTTTTATAGTACAGGTTGTCCTCAACTTATAAGAGTTCATTTAGAGATCATTCAAAGTTATAATAGCACTGAAAAAGTGATTTATGACTGTTTTTCACACTTACGATCATTTCAGCATCCCCATGGCCACATGACCAAAATTCTGACTCTTCACAACGGACTAATATTTATGATGGTTGCACTGTCCCAGGGTCATGTGATCATCTTTTGTAACCTGACAAGAAAAATCAATGAGAAAGCCAGATTCACTTAACAGCCGTTACTAACTTCTGCAGTGATTCATTTGATGACTGTAGTAAGAAAGGTCATAAAATGGGGCAAAACTCACTTAACAAATAACTCATTTAACCAAAGTCTCACATAGCAACATACATTTTGTCATAAGTCAATGACTACTTGTATAGTGATTAGTCTTAAGTATGTACTCTTTTAGAACTTGTATCTTGGGGACCCAAATTGTTGGGGGCAATATGCTGATTGTACACCTCTTAGAGAGGGCCGTAAAGCACTGTAAAGTTGTTTATAAGGATAAATGCTATTGCTATTGTTATCTTATTACTTTATTTTATGTTATTTCTAATTTATTTTACCTTTTTACTTTAATAAGATATTTTTATACAATTTTGTTACATAAAATGCTGTTTTGGTTAGAGACAATAATGTTCTGTTCCGAACAAGTTCTTTAATACAGTCATTTTGACACATGTATGCCTATTATTTTTCAACTCACATACATGATGGAGTTATATACAAAGTTAAAAACAAAACATAGTAGAAAAGCCCCCCCCATGATCAACAACAAAACTTATTTTAAAAATTTGAAAGCAATAAAACCATAACCTGCATTGATCCCCTAATCCATTATATTATGATTTAGGCATATGAAAAAGAAATAAAAATAAAAGTTTCATTTAGTCTGTTGCTTGACAGTTGTTATGCTGTAAATGTGATATTACCCCAAAAATAAAAAATGAACCAATAATGTAGGTATAATGTAATAAAATAACAACAACAATAATAGAACGAACTTCCGGTTGGCCTTTTGGGCCTGTTTTTTGCCCTCCTCAGGTTCCGGATGGTTTCCTGAAACATGTGGAGGTCGAAAATGCTCCCCCCCCCCAGAGGCTCCCTGTAAGCCAGAAATGGATCTTTTCTGAACTTCTGATTGGCCCGTTGGGGCCGTTTTTCTTCTTCCCCAGGCTCCAGAGGCTTTCCTGAAGCCTGGGTGGGGTGAAAAACGGCCCACGGGGCCAACCGGAAGTTCTGAAACTATCTGTTTCTGGCTTCAGGAGTGCCTCCAGGGGGACGAGGGAGGCTGTTTACACCCTCCCCAGGCTTCAGGAAAGCCTCTGGAGCCTGGGGAGGGGCCGTGTGCGCATGCGCAGCATGTTGTGTGCACATGTGCAGATGGCGGAGAGGACTGAATTGGTGTGGGCATGCATGTGCACGTGATAGTGCGTGCACACACAATTTTGGCACACCATAAGAAAAAGGTTCGCCATCACTGGTATATACAGTAGACCCTCGGGTCACGAATGCTTCTGACCGCGACCAAATTGGATGCCGACCAAAATGTTTGCAAATTTTTTGCATCTGGTCGTGAATAAATACTCGGGTGGCGATCAAACACAGCTGCAGCGATTTTCCCTGTCCCGGCAATTTCCTCTTTGGCACAAGAGCCAAGGTGGCGCAGTGGTTAAATGCAGCACTGCAGGCTACTGCTAGATCAGCAGTTCAGCGGTTCAAATCTCACCGG